TTTGTCCTTGAATTATTAAGGAGAATTTTTTGTTTTAATTTCCAAATGTATAAAAGGGGAATGACAGTTCTCATATTTTATATTATGTGGGTCATTGTGTTATATACAAATGTGTTTATAAATCATTTGTAGTTTGCTAGTGTGTATTTTTGTTTATTGTGGGTCTTTCTTTTGATATGGGCTACTTAGGTTTATTATTATAAATAAAATATATCCTGGGACCTTCCTGGTGGCACAGTGGTTAAGAATCCACCCCAATTCGGGGAACCCAGGTTTGAGCCCTGGTCTGGGAAGAAGCCACATGCCGTGGAGCAGCTAAGCCCACGCACCACAACTGCTGAGCCTCCATGCCACAATTACTGAAGCCCATGCACCTAGAGCCCATGCTCCTCAACAAGAGAAGCCACTGCAGTGAGAAGCCCGTGCTCTGCAATGAAGAGCAGCACCCGCTTTCCGCAACTAGGGAAAGCCTGCACACAGCAACGAAGACCCAATGCAGCCAAAAATTAATTAATTAATTAATTAAAAAATAAAATAACATATATCCTAACATCTTAGAATTTCCTTCTGCCCTCTTACTTTGTGATTTATATTTACCAGACTTCCTTTTTTGTTCTTTTTTCTATTTTTCTGCCTTGGATTAAATAATTTTTCTTAATTACCTCCTTTGTACTAATTTGAAAGGTATACATTCTATTTTTGTTCTCTGATCAATATTAAATTTTTTATAACTGTTTTGATACATAGATATAATTACAATTCTATTTTTAATGTGCATACTGAACAAAATTTAATATCTACCATTACTTGTAAATATTAGAAGGAAATTTAATACATGAACTTCAGTCGTACCCATCCTCTATGTTACTGTCTAAAGATTTTATTCCACTTTTTTGGTGGGAGGGACTCAACTGATCTCACCTTATTTTTAAACCTCTATATTTAGTCGTTAGTGTGGCTTTACCACATATACTCTACTATTTCTGTTGACCCATATTTACTGCTTTTTAATTATCTTTGCTTCTTGTATCTAAGTTCTTTCTGGATCCAATTACCTTTCCTTTAAGTAAGTCCTTTAGTAGTTTTAAAATTTTTTTAACATCTTTACTGGAGTATAATTGCTTTACAGTGGTGTGTTAGTTTCTGCTTTATAACAAAGTGAATCAGTTATACATATACATATATCCCCATATCTCCTCCCTCTTGCATCTCCCTCCCACACTCCCTATCCCACCCCTCTAGGTGGTCACTGAGCTGAGCTGATCTCCCTGTGGTATGCAGCTTCTTCCCACTAGCTAGCTATTTTACATTTGGTAGTATATATAAGTCCATGCCACTCTCACTTCGTTCCAGCTTACCCTTCCCCCTCTCCGTGTCCTCAAGTCCATTCTCTACATCTGCATCTTTATACCTGTCTAGTAGTTCTTTAATAAAGACCTGAATGTTAAGTTCTGTTATTTTTATTTTGTTATTGTTATTCAGTGATGTTTTACATGGTTGTAGAATTCAAGATTGATAGTTATTTTCCATCAGTAACTTGAAGATATGTTTCTATTGCCTTCTGACTTCTAATATTGCTGCTGGGAAGTCTGCTCTTGGTTTAATATTGATCCTTTATAAGATAATCCATCTTTTGTCTCTGGTTGCTTTAAAATTCTTCACTTTGGTATATGTTGATCTTATTACTCTAAGTGCAGTTTTATATTTATTCATCTCATAATATCAGAAGTTGGAGTATAGTTTCACTCAAAGAATGTATGTCTTACCTCAGTTCTGGGAAGTTATAAGCTATTGTTTTCAAATAGCAAATTGTTTTCAAATTGCCTTTATCTTCCTTGGCTGCGTTCTGTATAATATCCTCAGATCTGTCTTCTAGTTTGCAAATTTTCTTCAAATATTTCTAATGTGCTGTTAAACTTGTCCTAGAAGTTTTCAATTTCAGGGACAATATTTTTCATTTTGCAAGTTCTGTTTGCTTCTTTCATACCTGTTTGTTCTTTTTTCATTACCTTAGTTTTTCATTATGTATTTTAGCCTGTCTTAGCTCTTTAAGTAAGCATGTTTTAAATTATTATAGTCTCTTTCAGATTGTTCTGTTATTTCAAATTCTTAATAGGCCAGTCCTCCTGTTTGTTGTGTCTGCTGACTGTTCTCCATACTGTAAGGAAGAAACATACATTGTATCCGCATGTGATTTGTAGTTTTTGTTTGTGTGCTCATCTTCAGCACGGATTATTTTTATGTGTGCATATGAGGACATTTCATGTGTACTGGTTTGCAGAAGTAGAATTACTCGGAAGGGATACCTGAAGTTTAGGTTTCTCACGAGAGACGTTTTTTCTTCTCTTATCCAGAGCCCCAGGAGGAGACATGCTTCACTTTCCTGGAGTTGTGGACAGAGATTTTATGTGTCCATTTCACTGAGAGTGTAGCCCTTCTCAGGCTGTAATTGCATTTTCAGCTTTCACCTCTGTACCTATATCAGCATTAAATTTCTAGTCTTTATCCTTTATATATAGTCTCTAACATGTATAATATATAATATATATATAAAATTTCAGATACGGATGGATATCTAGATAGATATATAGATATATACCTTCATAGGTATACCTATCTAGATATCTATATCTGTATCTGAAATCTTTCCAAATGGCTTTTTGTCAGCCTTTGAGATTACCCTGGCTATAAATTGCTGATAAGGCTTTTCTTTTGCATAGTTTTTGAACTGAACTATGTACTTGAAACTCTTCTTTACTTGTTATATTTTTATCAAGTATTTAATATGTTCATAGCATTTTGTCTGCTTGTAAAATTGCTTGTTAAAGTTTGTAAAAACTTTAACCTGTGCTGCTGAGAACAGAAAGCAAATTTCTTTTTATGTTTTTCTGTTTGTCTTATTTTACTGTAAGAGTTTGAAAGCTAGATATCCTATTTTTAATGTAACTCATGGTCACCATAATGATTTCCATAAGCATTTTCAAATGTTTATTCATTTACTTTTGTTTAACAAAATTAATAGCAAAGTAATTTTTAAATTTCTCATTATGGAAGAATAGTGCTTATTCCCTCCATGTTGTATATCCTAGTAATCATTAGTATAAAATGTGAACTTATATACTTCATTTTTACTTTTTATTCTGTTTTCCTCCTGTTGTAGTAACATTAAAAAATCTTACAACATTTTTTCGTGTGTTTTAGAAAACCCATCCTTTTTCATTTTTACCCTCAGGTTTCCCACTCCTGAGTTCTTAATTTTATTTGTCCATATTCTGGAACATTTCTTTGAGTAATTCAGAAAACATGGCTAGATGGTATATTTACTTAGTTCTTACATATCTAGGAATGTCTCTTGGCTTCACAAGTGAACAACAGTTTACCAGGCTATAAAATTCTTAGGACATTATGTTAGGTAGGTTCAAGCCAACTGTTGAAATAAAGAGGTCCAAAGTTATAGATCAAATAAGATAGAAATTGTATTCTCTGTAATCTAAGACTTATTATGTAACAGCAATCAATCTAGGCCTGATAGATGGCTTTGTTCCACGGGGCCATCTAAGCTGGTGGGGCCACATCTATCATCACATCATTTGGCTTCCATTTCTGTATCCAAGGTGGATGCTGCAGTTGGCATTGTTTTTTTAGCCAGTGGGAAGGGGAAAGAGGAAGTCCATTGCAAGTAGATTTACATGGAAGATAATGATCCATAAGTTTTATACAGCACTTGTATTCATATTCTGTTGTCTCAGGTTTGGCACATAACTACACCACTCTTAAGGGAGGCTGGATTTTGTAGATTCTACCTTGGCACAGTAGATTCTATTACTAAAAGAAAGAGGGGAGGATGGGTAGGATACTGCATTCCCAACCACAAGCATCTGTGGAAATTTTTTGTTCAAATTTTTGTTGAAGTTACTTTCTTTGTTTGAGTCCTTATTCTTTCTTCCTTGCTCCCCTCCTCTCTCCCTTTGAAATGTTAATTCATGCCATTTTCAATTTTTCTTTAAAATGGAAGTTTTATTTTTTATTTTTTTTAAATTTACTCTCTTTTTTTCAGACATTTAAAAAATATATAAATTTATTTATTTTTGACTGAGTTGGGTCTTTGTTATTGTGTGCAGGCTTTCTCTAGTTGTGGCGAGTGGGGGTTACTCTTCGTTGTGGCTTACGGGCTCTAGGCGCATGGGCTTCAGTAGTTGTGGCACATGGGCTTAGTTGCTCTGCAGCATGTGGGATCTTCCCAGACCAGGGCTTAAACTCGTCTCCTGCGTTGGCAGGCAGATTCTTAACCACTGCACCACTTCCACTTCCCTAAATTGGAAGTTTTATATCTTAATTTTATGTGTTCATTTTATATCAAGGATATTAACTCTCTGTCATGTTTTTGGAAAATCTTTTTTTAAACAATTTTGATATTTGCCTTTTAAACCTGTATATCATGTTTTTAGTACTTTTCCTTTTTAGTACCTTTCTTTTCCTTTATTCATATAGTTTATATTCTAACACATAGATTAATTTCTCCTCTTCTATTGACTTAATAATTATTACATTTAACTACCTTTATACAAATGTATGGCCTTTCATTACAACTCTTTGCCTGTTCCCATTAGCTTTCTTTAATAGCTGAAAAACCTTTATATCATCACCAGGGAGCTTATAGAAGATACTGATATCAGAGCTTAAGGAAAATGATGGCTTTGCCTAGGTACCCTCCTCTAGAGTTGATGTAGATTAAGTTGCCTAGAGTGGCTTCCTCTATAGTGAATGTAAGTTAGACACTGTGTGGTTTAACAAAGAGAACCCAAAGAAAAGTAGCTGAGGTCATTGATGAAAGAACAGACAATTAGCTGCCATAATTTCAGTGAGGGATTGTAGAAAATATGTTTGGATTATTTGTATAGGATTTTAGAAGTAGCTTTAATGTGTAATTACCTTAAAAGTCAGTTTGTTAACTAGGAAATGAGAGATAAATAACTTAGTTGCTAATATTGTTTTTGAAGGGAGAAATTCAGAAATTATATTTTTTGAGAAGTTAAAGGAAGACAGTATTCCTGCTCCTCGCTCTGTCGGCAGTATTAAAATCAACTTTACCCCTCGAGTATTCCCAACTGCTCTCCGGGAATCACAGGTAGCAGAAGAAGAGGAGGTTGGTATACTTGCTGTTAGTTACAGTGACCACAATGAAAATATTTTTTATTCCATATATTGAAACTGTTACTGGGTCTGAATTTTTAAAGTATTCATTAAGCTAAAGATATTACTTCATGAAAAAATTTAATATTTCCTTTGAGAAAAATATATTTTGCAGGATTTTTATTTCTTTTTTGGCTCCAGAATGCTGATGAGAAAACACTGGTTTAATATCCAGTGCTGTTGCTTATCCCAGGAGATAAAATGTTGCATGTGCATTTATTTTATCAAATACATCATTTTCCATAATAGATTTGTAAACTTTGGGTCAGTGTATGTCGCGGTAAGAAAAGATTTGTAAATTTATTATTTTTTTTACAATTAATTATTAATATCAAGTATTTCTAATGTGATATTTGGTATTAATATCTTTCATTCATTTATAAATTCCTGAGCTCTGGGATTTTGAATATTGTATATTTAGTTGTGTAAGCACTAAGAACTTGTTTTTTTTTTTTTTTTTTTTTACTGTAAGGTGTGAACTGATACCTCTCTCAATTGAAAAGTTGTGGAAATAATTGAATCTCCTTAAGATATAATGACAATTTATAAATATTAATTTTTTTCTTGTTATTAACAGCATATTTCTATATTTTATTATTTATAAAAGTATCTCTGTAACTATAAAATTATAATTATTTAAAAAATCATTTATATATTTTTATAATGTAAAAAATATATATATATTATAAACAAGAAAAATAAAACAATATTCACATGAACTCCCAGAAATTTGGATGAAATTTAGACTAGAAATTTTTATACATTTGATCTTAATCAGCTAGTGAAGTTTAAAAAAATGCTTAAAGATGTATAAAAACTAGAAGTTTAAAGTCACCACCATCAATTATTTTATCAGTCTGCTCAGACTGCTATAACAAAGTACATAGACTGGGTGGCTTAAAGAACAGGCAATCATTTCTCACAGTTCTGGAGGCTGGGAAGTCCAAGGTCAGGATTCTGGGGTGGGGTGGGGTGGGGAAGAGCATGCCCTCTGGTCTCTTCCTCTTCTTATAAGGACACTAATCTTACGATGGGAGTCTCATCCTCATAACCTCATCCAAGCTTAATTATAGCCCAAAGGCCCCATCTCCAAATACCATCACATTGGTGATTAGGGCTTCAACATATGAATATTGGAGGACACAAACATTCAGTCCATAACAAATAGTATTTCCATCTTGTATAGGAAGATGGAAAATCTAAAAGTAACTTTTAATAAAACAAGACTTTTGTGTCCTTCATTAAACTTCATTCTCATTTCAGTGGCTACATAAACAAGCAGAGGCACGAAGAGCAATGAATACTGACATTCCTGAACTTTGTGATTTAAAAGAAGAGGAAAAGAACCCAGAATGGTTGAAGGACAAAGGAAAGTAAGTTGTTTGAACTCTGGCCATGAGATTTATAATAAATTTATGTAGATATTAATACTTACATATTTTCTAGTTATCTTGACATACGTGTGTATGTGAGTTTGGGGGAGAAATAATGCAAATACGCCAATTCTGTAGGTAGTGCTTCCATATTTAAAAAGTCAGATCTTATAATAAATAAGGCTCTTATTTTTATTGCTTTTGTATTTATATGTCATGGAAATGAAAAATATCACGTCTTTTGGATTGCTTATCAAAATCCCTTTTTAAATCACTTAACGTTTACCATAAGTCCTTCATAATACTTCCCTTAAAATCATGGTTCTTTTGGGACTTCGCTGATGGCACAGTGGTTGGGAGTCCGCCTGCCAGTGCAGGGGACATAGGTTGAGCCCTAGTCCAGGGGGATCCCACATGCCGCGGAGCAACTAAGCTCGTGCGCCACGGCTGCTGAGCCTGTGCTCTAGGGCCCATGAGCCACGGCTGCTGAAGCCCGCATGCCACAACTGCTGAGGCCCCAGTGCCTGGAGCCCGTGCTCTGCAACAAGAGAAGCCACAGCAATGAGGAGCCTACACAGCGCAACGAAGAGTGGCCCCTGCTTGCCGCAACTAGGGAGGGGCCTGTGGGCAGAAACAAAGACCCAACACAGCCAAAAATAAATAATAAATAAACTTATTTTAAAAAAATCATGGTTATTTAAAACTAGAGCTACTTTGGTTAGTCATATCCATCTTTAAGAGATTATCAAATTATCCTATAAATTATCATTTTATATCCAGACAATCCTTTTATTTATTTATATGTGGCTCTATGTGTAAACTTTTAGACAATTAACAACAATGAATTCTGCTATATTCTGTGGTAATTTGAGTTCATATTTTGAGGCAATTTTGTAGATATTATCTCATTTTATACACTTTTGTATTATTTTCCTATTGCTGCCATAGCAAACTACCACAAACTTAGTGGCTTAAAACAATACAAATTTATTATGTTATAGTTCTGGAGGTCAGAAGTCTAAAATGGGTTTTTCTGGGCTAAAATCAAGATATCAGTTGCAATCCTTCTGGAGGCTGTAAGGGAGAATCTATTTTCTTGCGTTTTCCAGCTTTGAGACTGCCCACATTCCTTGGCTTATGGCCCCCAACCAGCAGTTGCGTCACTCTGGACTTTGCTTCCATAGTCACCTCTCCTTGTCTGACTCTGGCTCTCCTGCCTCCCTCTTTCTTTTATAAGTGCCGTTGTAATTACGTTAGTCCCACTTGTATAATCCAGGATAATGTCCTACTGCAAGATCCTTAACTTAATCACATCTGCAAGGTTCTTTCTAACTAACCATTTTAGTTAATATATTCACAGGTTTTTGGGGATTAGGATGTGAACATCTTTGGTGGGGAGATTTATCTGTCTAACCACAAAATCTGTGTTTTTCTTTTCTCATCTTCTCTCTGTTTATCCTTGGTCTTTGCTCGTATCTGATAACAACACCAGAGATTGATTTGGGGAGTTGAGCTGGAGTTAACAATTTTTCTGAAGTTCAGAAGCCTGGGGCTGACAGGTTTGTTCCTCTTACTCCCAACAAAAATCCCCTCTCCTTTTTCTCCATCTATTAAACCATTAAATAAATATCTGTTGATTACTTGCGGTTTGTCAGACTGCAGGCTAGGCTCTGAGCTACAGAGATCAGTAGAGGAGAGGGACATATACAGATACTTATAACACTGTGTGGGAAGTACAATACATAGAAAGAACAAGGTAAAATGAGAGTACAGAAGAGGGGCACCTAACCTTAAAGAAAGAAAGGTAGTTTCAGGAAGAGCTTCCTAAAGAATATAGCACCTGAGCTCCTCTTAATGATAAGTAGGAGTTTCAGGAGGAAGGACAGAAAGGCATTCATTTTAAGCAGAGAAGACAGTATGAGCAAAAGCTCAGAGGCAAGAATAGTGTGATATATAGGTCAGGAACTGGGTAGTTTATTGCTTGCTAAAACATAAATTTGATGCTAGGAATAATGCCAAATGAACCTAGAAAAATAGGCAGTGGCCTTGTGTTATTCTTATATTTTATTCTGTAAGGTGGGGAAAAATGTGTTGCAGAAACTATGGCAGAGGTCTTGAACCATTATGACATTGTTATAGGGTGAAGACGAGAGCAATGTGAGAAATATTCAGGAGGTAAAATAGGGAGGACTTCTTGAGTGATTGTTGGGGAGTGAGAGAAGAGTAGTTGTGGGCGACTTTGGGTTTCTAGTTTGAATGATTGATTATATGATGCCACCAACTGAATTAGAGAACTCTAGAAGAGCGCCATTTAGGAGGGAATGTAGGTAAGTTCAGTTTTGAATATGTTGAGTTTGAGCTGCCTCTTGGTCAGTCTGGCTGACAGTGTCCAGCAAGTTTGAAACTCAGGGAAGAGGCCAGCAGTGTATTATGGATTTGGAGGTTATCAGCATTTATGTAGCAGTTGATTTACAAGAGTACGTGAGATATCTGAAAAGAGCACGTAGACCAGAGGACTAGTGGCCTAAGGATAAAACCCTGTGACCTACCAACATTTGAAGACCTAGTAAAATAAAGGAGTACACAAAAATACTCCCAGAAGCCAATGGAATAGAAACTTTCAGAGTTTTTGTTTTGTTTTGTTCTTCTTAAAGAATAGAACAGGTTTGAATAGATGTGCAGATGAGACAGAAGAGGTGGCTGAACTGTCCTCGAGAAGAGTGGAGAAAATTGAGTCAAGGCCAAAGGTAGATGGTTTATCCCGATTTTGTTTTCGTTTTTCCTCTTGTTAAAAGTTGCATTCATTTTTAACTTCATGATAAAGATATATCTTTTGAAAAAAATTTACACTGCACATCAATTCAAAGTCCCCCTTGGTTTTTTGTTTGTTTGTTTGTAACATCTTTATTATAAGTGCTTTACAATAGTGTGTTAGTTTCTGGTTTATAACAAAGTGAATCAGTTATACATATATATATGTTCCCATATCTCTTCCCTCTGGCATTTCCCTCCCTCCCACCCTCCCTCTACCACCCCTCTAGGTGGTCACAAAGCACCGAGCTCATCTCCCTGTGCTATGCGGCTGCTTCACACTAGCTCTATTTTACGTTTGGTAGTGTATATATGTCCATGCCACTCTCTCACTTTGTCACAGCTTACCCTTCCTCCTCCCCATATCCTCAAGTCTATTCTCTAGTAGGTCTGTGTCTTTATTCCCGTCTTACCCCTAGGTTCTTCATGACATTTTATTTTTCTTAAATTCCATATATATGTGTTAGCATACGATATTTGTTTTTCTTATTCTGACTTACTTCACTCTTTGTGACAGACTCTGTGTCCATCCACCTCTCTACAAATAACTCAATTTCGTTTCTTTATATGGCTGAGTAATATTCCATTATATATGTGTGCCACATCTTCTTTATCCATTCATCTGTTGATGGACACTTAGGTTGCTTCCATGTCCTGGCTATTGTAAATACACCTGCAATGAACATTTTGGTACATGTCTCTTTTTGAATTAAGGTTTTCTCAGGGTATATGCCCAGTAGTAGGATTGCTGGGTTGTATGGTAGTTCTATTTTTAGTTTTTTAAGGAACCTCCATACTGTTCTCCATAGTGGCTGTATCAATTTACATTCCCACCAACAGTGCAAGAGGGTTCCCATTTCTCCACACCCTCTCCAGCATTTTTTCTAGATTTTTCGATGATGGCCATTCTGACTGGTGTGAGATGATATCTCACTGTAGTTTTGATTTGCATTTCTCTAATGATTAGTGATGTTGAGCATCCTTTCACGTGTTTGTTGGCAATCTGTATATCTTCTTTGGAGAACTGTCTATTTAAGACTTCTGCCCATTTTTTGGATTGGGTTTGTTTGATATTAAGCTGCATGAGCTGCTTGTAAATTTTGGAGATTAATGCTTTGCCAGTTGCTTCATTTGCAAATGTTTTCTCCCATTCTGAGGGTTGTCCTTTGGTCTTGTTTATGGTTTCCTTTGCTGTGCAAAGCTTTGAAGTTTCATTAGGTCCCATTTGTTTATTTTTGTTTTTATTTCCATTTCTCTAGGAGGTGGGTCAAAAAGGATCTTGCTGTGATTTATGTCATAGAATGTTCTGCCTATGTTTTCCTCTAAGAGTTTGATAGTGTCTGGCCTTACATTTAGCTCTTTAATCCATTTTGAGTTTATTTTTGTGTATGGTGTTAGGATTTCATACTTTTACATGTAGCCATCTAGTTTTCCCAGCACTACTTATTGAAGAGGCTGTCTTTTCTCCCCTGTATATTCTTGCCTCCTTTATCAAAGATAAGGTGACCAGGGCTTCCCTGGTGGTGCAGTGGTTGAGAGTCCACCCGCCAATGCAGGGGACACGGGTTCGTGCCCCGGTCCAGGAAGATCCCACATGCCGTGGAGCAGCTGGGCCCGTGAGCCATGGCCACTGAGCCTGCGCGTCCAGAGCCTGTGTTCCGCGATGGGAGAGGCCACAACAGTAAGAGGCCATACAAAAATTAAGGTGACCATATGTGCGTGGGTTTATCTCTGGGCTTTCTATCCTGTTCCGTTGATCTATATTTCTGTTTTTGTGCCAGTACCATACTATCTTGATTACTGTAGCTTTGTAGTATAGTCTGAAGTCAGGGAGCCTGATTCCTCCAGCTCCATTTTTCATTCTCAAGATTGCTTTGGCTATTCGGGGTATTTTGTGTTTCCATACAAATTGTGAAATTTTTTGTTCTAGTTCTGTGAAAAATGCCAGTGGTAGTTTAATAGGGATTGCATTGAATCTGTAGATTGCTTTGGGTAGTAGAGTCATTTTCACAATGTTGATTCTTCCAATCCAAGAACATGGTATATCTCTCCATCCGTTTGTATCATCTTTAATTTCTTTCATCAGTGTCTTATAATTTTCTGCATACAGGTCTTTTGTCCCCTTAGGTAGGTTATCCCTAGATATTTTATTCTTTTTGTTACAGTGGTAAATGGGAATGTTTTCTTAA